TTAGAGTGTTTTTTGATGAAGTTTTGTAAGGCATTTTACAGACACTTGATTCCAGAAGAGCTACATTTGCAGTCTGTATAAAATGCAACATCTGTTAGCAGTTCAAGCTTCAAGATGATAATTTGATAATTCAGCTTGTAACACCTTACAATAAATGTGCCTGGAATGTTGTGTATTTGGAGAGTAGATCTACATAAAATATGGAAATTTCTGTTGTTAAAATTCACAGTGGATATAGAGAACCTGTTTGGCATGATAATGCAGTCATGGTTTAAATGATCTTTTAATACCTGCTCTGGTTAATTCATACTGGTCCTGTAGAGAATGGAGTTACCAAGGCATCAATTTTTATGTAGGCAACAGTAAACTGTACTTGAATTTTTCATGAGACTGAGTTTATATTTCTTCAAATTACATTATCTGCCAAGCAATTATTGTTTGAAGCATTAGTGACGGTGATTAAAGTAATTCATATGACAAAACAGTGGCCCAGCACATTAGCTCCAAAATGCTGTGTGAAATAGTGATGGAGCACTGCATTTGCTCCTCATTGCACCACATAGTGAGTATCTTATCTCAATTGTGTTCATAGAATCATAGAATCGTACAGCACAAAAAGAGAATTCGGCCCATCGAATTTGTGCCGGCTCTTTGAAAAGAGTAATGTAATGTCAATCCCACTCCCCAGCCCTTTCCCCATAACCCTGCAAACCTGTCCTCCTCAAATACCCGTCCACCGCGTTTTTAAAAGTAGTTATCGAATCGGCTTCGATCACCTTTTCAGGCAATGCGTTCCAGATTCAAACAACTCGCTGCATGAAAAAAATTCTTCTCACCTCCCCTCTACTTCTTTTAGATACTATTTGGAATCTGTGACCTCGAGTCACTGACACACCCACCATTGGAAACAGTTTTTCTCTTTCTAACCTATCCAATCCCCTCATGATTTTGAAGACCTCTTTTAGGTCTCCTCGTAATCTTCTCTGCTCCAATGAGAATAATCCAGCCTCTCTCGCCTTTCCTCATAATCAAGGTCCCTCATTCCTGGTACCATTCTTGTAAATCTCCTCTGCAGCCTTTCCATTGCCTTAACATCCTTCCTATAGTGTGGTGCCCAGAACTGGATGCAATATTCTAACTGAGCCCTAACCAGTGTTTTATATAGGTTAATCATAACCTCCTGACTCTTGTACTCTATGCCCCTATTTATAAAGCCTAGTATCCCACATGCCCTTTTTACCACTTTATCTACCTGTCCTGCCAACTTCAAGGATTCATTTACCTGCACCCCCAGGTCTCTCTGTTCTTTTATCCCCCTTAAGATTGTATTACCAGCCTATATTGCCTCCCCTCATTCTTTCTACCAAAATGCATTACCTCGCATTTTTCCACTATCCTTCTCACTGTTTACTACCCTACCTAACTTTGTGTCATCCGCAAACTTGGAAATGGTACTTGCTATACCCAAGTCCAGATCATTTATGTATATTAAGAAGAGCAGTGGTCCTAATACCGATCCCTGGGGAATCGCCACTGTACACTTACCTCCAATCAGAAAAGTAGCCGTTCACCACAACTCTGCTTTCTGTCTCCCAGCCAGTTCTGGATCCATGCTGCCACTGTCTCTTTTATACCATGGGCTTCTATCTTTCTTACAAGTCTTTCACTTTGTCAAATGCCTTTTGAAAGTCCATATAAACTATATCAACTGCACCCTCTCTGTTACCTCATCGAAAAATTCTCTTAGATTTGTTAGACAAAATTTGCCTTTAACAAATCCATGTTGGCTGTCCCTAATTAACCCATATTCTTCCAAGTGAAGATTTATTCTCTCCCGGATTATAGTCTTCAGGATGTGTTGTTGGGAATTAGAGAACATGCAGGGAGGAAAAAAAGTCACAAGATCACAATATGGTTTGGATGAAGAAAAATGTAGAAACTCATCTGATCTCATTCCTCCAAAATACCCACCTTACCGACCTCCCATCACAGTATCAAGCTGCTTTATAAATGATTGAATGCAAATTTCGCCAGTGTTAAGGTGCTGTTACCAGTGAACAGGTTAGGTTGGGACGTCCTCCTGACGTGAAAGGTGCTCTATAAATGGAATCTTGTTGTTGTGTCGTTGTTGTTGTTGAATGCCGTTGGGAGAATGTTATTACACAAATTAGGTCACTTTGGTTCTGATCCTTCTGTAATATACATGAGCACAAGAAATCCAATTTGTGCCCATGAATACAGTGCAATGTTTGAAAGCCCTCAGATCTGATCACAAGAAGAATCTGCTGCTGTTGCAGGTGTAAATTGGTTGAATCAGCACAAAAGTTGCCAAAGATTATATGAAACTCATAGGTTGAATTATTCAAGCAATGCCACTAACTGGAGTTCTGCACAGTATATTACAGAATAGAGAAATGTTGACTGAATTGTTTAAAAAATGCTCATGAAACCTTCAGTAGCTTTTTCCACTGTGATGAATCATTGCTTTAGTACTTACTTATAGCAATTTCTGAATCATTCAAAAAGAAAGGTATCCTCTATTTATTTTTCTATTCAGTAGCTTTGTAATCTGGAGTGGCCAGACCCCCTCAGGTACAGTAGTTAATAACTGATGATCAGTCTCGCAAGATCCACCCCCTAAACTGTGAAGAAGACATGGACTGAAAAGAATGAGTGCCTTTTTGTACATTTCTCCCCACTTTCTAGCACATTGATGACACTGGTCGAGATTTAGCTGCTTGCAATAAATGTTCCACCAGATAAATAGTGCTCTTCTGTCACCTAAATGGTGATGGTTGTAACCGTGATATTGGTGTTGCTTGCTTTGCTTATTGTGTTGTGATGTATGTACCCTGTGGTGGTGCTTTACATCAGTTGTATGAAATGCAAAATAAATGGAAAGATTGAAACACTAATTCTGTTCGAGAGTGCTGGACAACAGCCCCCTGGGTGTTGTGAAGAGCCTTTCTCCTTGTGGAAAGCTTGTTACAAGTAAACATGCCATTCATGGTATATTCTTCATTATTTCAGGGCACAAATTCATCTGTCTGCAGTTACCTTGAAGCTGATTTCTGCATCCAGTAAAACAGGCCATTTATTCTCAATAAAACATTAAAATGCCTTAACAGCTTTACTTATTTAAAACTTCTTTTTATGAAAGGCTAGATAGAGATTATAGTTTTAGACGGCATTTTATTTTTTTGTGAGTCATATCAGCCTGGCTCAATTGCTAGGACTCTTGCCTCACAGTCAAAAAGTTGTGGTTTCATGCCCCATTTTATGGGACTATGGACTTGTAATAGTCTAAACTGACACTACAATACAGTGCTGAGAGTGTGCTACGTTGTTGGAGGTGCACCCTTCAGATGAGATTTTAAACCGAGGTACTGACTGCGTGTTCAAGTGTACGGTAGAGATCCATGGAATTATTTGAAAAGAGAAGGGTGTTTCTCTTGGTGTCCTGACCAACAATCCCCCAAATAAAATTGGCCATTCATTTTCTGCCTGATTGCAAACTGGCTGCTGCATTCACCTACAAAATAGTCACTGCACTTTACAATACATCCTGTGAAGTGCTTTAAGATGTCCCATTGTAAAAAGCACTATATGAAATGTAAGATTATTGTTTCTTAGTGACACATTCTGAATATATGAGCACAGATGACATATTGCATGTCCATGTATGAATGGATGTCAAAACTTTATGCTGCTGATGAACAAAAAACATCTCGAACTTCTTTCTGATTGTTTTCAGACTTGGAACATGTTTTTTGACATTCAGTGAATGAATTCCCATTATAAAGACATAGCAAAAGGATTGCTATTTATAGGGAATAGAGTAAAATAGATTCCAATGTTTGATGGAAAAGTGCCTCTGAATGGTTCACAGTGCCTGAATCAAAATCATTCATTCAACATCCAAATACAAATAGAGAATTGTTGTCAACTCATAGTGGGGAAAAAATATTGTGAGCCCTGTCCATTTTAATACATTTGTGCCTTGGGCATTCAGGTGTCCTTCCCATACACTGAAGAATGTAAGGCTACATTATGGAATGTGTTATTAGCAGCAGTTAATCTCTGCTCTCTCCCACAACAGGAAAACATTGTAGCATGCCAGATTTTATTAAAATCCTCCAGTTCAGTTTAACCTCGGAGTAAGACCATTTATTTCCAAGTCTATCAAACATGCATATGTATCAGTGCCTGAGATGCTATGTGAAGGGTGCTTTATAAATTCAAGTTGTTGTTGGATTTGTGTAGTAGTCTGCAAAGTTCACATGCTGTTATTTTCACTACTATTTTGAACGCCAGCCTGTGTCAGATTATCATCTGGTTAGCTTCTTCTACAGTATGTCAGAACCTTTCCTGTAACAAACTCCATTCTCACAAGGACATTTGAAGGGTGAAACCAACTCCATACTCAGCATAAGGACTTGACGAATAGTTATCAGTGGATGACTTTTCAGTTGACTTCCAATCAATTTCCTGCAAATGTGTTCGAATCAAATTGTTGGATGGCATAGTGTTCCTTTCCGATATTGAATGATCACATGACAATAAGGATGGAATAATAATATTATAATCCTTGCATTGGATGACGCACCTTTCACGTATGGAGGACATCTCAAAGCGCTTCATAGAATTTGCAGCACAGTGTAGTGGCTATGTATTTTGTAGGCAAATATTGGGATGCACTCTTTGTACAATTGGTTGTTGCGATATACCGTGTTTTGGTTTTGCCTTCTTTACAGGATCTGTTACTGGGCCTAATCTGCAGCTGATAGTCACTCTACATCCACAAAACACATAGTCGCTCCACTTTACAGTATATCCTGTGAAGCGATTTACGATGTCCTCCTGGCATGAAAGGTGCTATAACAAATGCAAGGATTAATATTATTCCAAATAAATTAGACATTCTGCCCAGAATGCTGACAATGAAGGTCTAAACTTATTGATAGCTGTGTTTGTGACTTCTTTTGTTCTTTCTTATACAGTTTGCCCAAAACAGATGCCTGACGGGATGTCCTCTCCACATTCTACCAGCTCTTCAACCTCAATTGCACAAAACAAGCTGCTCTCTTCTACTCAGCAACATACCAAAAAAGCTCTGAAACAGGTAAGTGATTTACATTCATAGCTTTGTGATTTCCACGCAAACAACAGATAGAGGTGTACAAAATTATGAGGGGTTTGGTATAGGGGGGTAAAGAGGGAGAAGCTTATTCCACTGTTAGAGGAGCCAATGTCTAAGGAACATATATTTGATAGTCACAAGAAGAGGTTAAAGAAAGTTTTTTTTACACAGGCCTTGCTCCCTCCTACCTCTCCGACCTACTATCCCCTTACCTACCTGCCCATACCCTCCGTTCCTCTGGCTCTGGTCTGCTCCACATCCCCCGCCCCAACCGCCCTACCATCGGTGGCCGGGCCTTCAGTCTCTCAGCCCCTAGGCTCGAGAACTCTATCCCCCAGTGCCTTCCCTTGCTTCCTCCCTTTCCTCCTTCAAGGCCGGTCTCAAGACCTTTCTCTTTGACTGTGCCTTCAGCTCCCCTCTCGACTCTCTACCCCCTCCTCGCTCCCTCCCTTCCCTCCCCTCACCCTGACAATTTCCCCCCTGCTCGGGTCCTGACCCAACTGTCCAGCGCCTTGGGACGTCCTCCCGACGTGAAAGGCGCTCTATGAATGGAATGTTGTTGTTGTTGTTGAGACATCGAATGCCCTGCCAAATAAGGTGATAGATGCAACCTTTCCCCTCAGCTTTAGCACAGCTGTTGAGTGCCAGAACGGTCCAAAAATTGACTGCTGCTATCTTTGCTTTTAGCACTAGTGAAGCATTCACTGTTGTTAGTAATTGCAGAGCGCAGTGTAATTTTAAGGCTGTATCTGGTGAAGCAGAACTGGAACACTGTACTCTGCAGCTGGCAACCACGGCAACCACACCAGGATTGACAAAAACAAGGCAATTTTCAAGCCAGTTTTGGAACCAACCACTGCCCTGAAGTGGGGGAGGGGGATTGTTACTCCCGTGGTCATTGATGGTCACTGACTGTGTTTGATGATTTGTGATGATAATTGGAGTCAGGAAAGTCACTTTTTTTATTGTGTTGATCATCAAGTATTTCCACACCCACAAAGTACATTCATCCACGTGACATACACTCACTAGACTTTACAATATATTCTCCTGATGTGAATGGCGCTATATCAAATGTGAGGATTATTATTTGTTGTAACTTCTCGTTTTTGTTGTTCTTTTGACAAACAATCAGCCTGTTTTTCTTTCCTCTTGCAATTTCAACTGCTACTGCTAATGGTTGGGATGTGGATGCCCCGCCAAGCTAAGGGGAAAGACTTCAAGTGTAGTATTTTCCAAAATACTACCCTTACCATGTGCTAGTGAGGAAAGACAGAGGATAATTAGGCAGACCAATGTATGTCTAAGGCATTGGCGTAGGGAGTCAGGTTTTTGTTTCCTCAAACAATGGGGTACCTTTTGGAATAGGGGGCATCTATACAGACCGGATGGGGAGTGGAGGTGTTGGCAGGTAGGATAGATAATTTAGTTAGGGAGTGTTTAACTAGGCACAGGGGTGATTGCTGTAGATGTAAGAGAGAACCCAAACCAATTAGGGAAAACCTTAAGGCATACCAATGTAACGGGTTTATCTCCAAAGGTTGGTGGAAAAAGAAACAAAAAATGGTTATACAGTAAATGGGAAAGGCAAAAAACATTTACTGTTTACTGCAAGAGCTGTACTTGCATTAATGCAAGAAGTCTGACAAACAAGATATGTAATCTGGAAGGTCTTGTAGGGGGTGATAGATTGGACATCATTAGCATAACATAAACATGGTGGAATGAATCCAATCAATGGGATACACATCTGGAAGGTTATAAGCTATTTAGAAGGGACTGTATCGGGAGAAGAGGAGGTGGTGTGGCACTATATATAAACTCCATTATTGAGACACAAGTCAGAGAGGATATAAAAAAGGAAAGGGCAGACACAGAATCACTTTGGGTAGACTTAAAAGATGATAACAGGTAAGCTATTACTGGGGGTCTTCTATAGACCCCTAAGCCAGGTTGAAAGCTTCGATCTGGAACTGTGGGATGAGATGAGGAAGGCCGCTAGTGAAGGACCAACCATAGTGGTTGGAGATTTTAACTTACCCAAAATTGATTAGGATAATAATCTGTCTACTGGTAAGATAGGGAAGGGGTTTCTAGAGTTAACGGAAGACTGTTTTATGATTCAGTTTGTAAAAGAGCCAACAAGGGGAGATAACATCTTGGATTCATTAATGAGCAATAGGGACGACCAAATCTCCAACATAAAAGTGGGAGAGCGTAAAGCAACAGCGATCACAATGCAGTCACATTTGCATCACAAGAGTTGATGAGGTTATAAAAACACAAACAAAACTGCCAAATTTCAAGAAAACTGACTTTGTGCGCTTGAGAAGACTAGTCGGAGTGGGCCTGGCAGTCTTAAATATGGCAATGGGAGTGGAAGACCTATGGAGTTCCTTCAAGGGGGTGATTATGAAGGCGATGGAACAATGTGTACCCATGCGAAGCAAAGGTACCAAGATTAAAGACACTCCTGCCTGGTTTGATGAGGCTACAAAGCAAATCATAAAGAGGAAAAAAAATATTTAAGACCATGAAGGAAAATGGCACGTAGTATCAGTGAGTAAAGCAAACCAAATATTGGGATGTATCAAAAGATCCATAGCAAGCCGAAATAGTGGGATAATCCTGCCACTGTGCAAATCATTGGTGAGATCATACTTGGAGTACTGTGTACAGTTCTGGTTGCCTAAAAGGATATTGGAGAAATCGAGAAGGCACAGTGAAGGCCACCAAATGATTAAGGGAATGGAAGGACTGCATTATGACAGGCTGTTTCAACTTGTCCAGATGTTTGAAGCAGGAAGTGTTCATTCTTTCACACACAGATTAGATACTTTAGGAAATAACATTATGGGTGGTTTAGGAAAATTGTGAATGCGATCGCCAGGAAGGTGGAAAACAAACTAGATGGACCTTGGGCTTTTTGCATCTAGCATTTCTTATGTTAAGTAAGGTGTTAGAGACTGAGCCCATTGTGGGTTTCAAGAGGGAAATAGACAAGTACATGAAAGATAGAGGCTTGAAGAGGTATAAAGATAAGATAGGGCACCTTGCTCTCAGAGCTGGTCCAGCATCGATGAGTTGAATAGCTTCCTTCTGCACTGTTTTCAGTGCCTTGGGATATCCTGCCGACATGAAAGGTACAATACAAATGTAGGTACAATACAAATGCGGAGTCCTGTAGCTCAGTGGTTAGAGCACTCGCTTTGTAAGCGAGAGACCTGAGTTCAATTCCAGGCAGGGCAGGGCGCAACCTTGGGTACGCTTCCTTACTCCCCACGCCTAATAATAATCCCTCCAAAAACCAAAAATAAATTGGTCATTTTCAATCTACGACTGTTTGTGGGACATTGCTGTGCGCAATTGGCTGCCGCGTTCGCCCACAAATATACAGTCAATTCACTTTACAGTGTGTTCTGTGAAGCGCTTTGGGACGTCCTCCCGACGTGAAAAGCGCTATATCAAATGCAAGGATTATTGTTATTATTAAAGGTACAATACAAATGTAATTTTGTTGTTGTTGTAAATTTCTATGATTTCTCCAAGCATAACTTCAAACATTTAAAAGCACACAGTCTTTTTATTCAATATTTGTAAAATATTTTCTAACAAATTGTGATTAAAAACACAGGTAAAGAAGCGAGGGGAAAACACATTTGTCCTGTTCCTTTCACAGATCTGCAACATCATACACTTTAAACTAACTTTAATCCCTTGCAGGAGATAGCTAACCTCTGATAAAATTTACATGAAAATAAGCTTCTAAGTCAAATTTCTCCCTGACGCCCAAAGGTAGTATAATACAATCGAAGATATTGATCCAACATTACAGTTTATATTATTTCAACCCTGACCAGTTACGTTCACAGCTAATATGTCTATGTTCCTAGGAGGGCAGAACTGTCACAGTTGCATACATTGATCAACAATCTGTATTCCCATCACTATAACAACAGCAACTTACATTTATATAGCGCACTTCATTCAGGATAGGTCCCAGAGTACTGCACTGTGGCTGGGATGGTTGCCGGGTAAGGGAGAAGGGGGAGGAGGTGGCCATTGGAGTAATTCAAGAAGTAGGTCTTAAGGGTTGATTTAAAGATAGATAACAAGAGGCTGAGGCAGAGGGTTTGTGACAGGGAGTTCCAGAGATTAGAGGCAGAGTCACTGAAGGTACATCTGTTTCTTCTCCAGATATTTAGCATTTGCATAACAGAAGCTGAATAACGAACATAATATTAACCAGTTTTGTTTTTATTTTCACTCAACCATTGAACCATCGCAGGTGGCGTAATCCTTTGGAAAAGGGACCTAGAGAAGTCCTTGCAAGTTAAACGGATTCTGGGTTATTAGGGGATGAGGCAGATGTGGTTAAGGGATCTATTGTGGTCTATGGTGTTGGGCGGGCAGCTTAAATAGAGCAATGGTCGACTCCTGCCCGAAACTATTACTGTGGGATGAAAAGTTTGGCATTTGTTGTATTAATTACTGAAAATTGGGGCCCACACCAGTCGCTAGTTATCAGCTGGTTTGTGGAGTGGCCGGTGTCCCCGAAGTAGCCACATTCCACAATAGCAGAGGTCAGAAGCTTCAGGCCAAACCATATTGCCGAAGTCAGGGGATGTTCAAACGAGTTTCTGTAGTGTTATGCCACAGAAATGGGGCATTTGGCCCAATATATCTATTGTAGTGTTTATACACCACATAGATCTGGACCCCTCCTGTTCCCTTCATTTATAGCCCTCCATTTCACCAACAAAACATACAGTCAATTCACTTTACAGTATATTCTGTGAAGCGCTTTGAGATGTCTAGAAGACGTGATAAATGCAAGGGTCATTATTATTTCCCTTTCCCTCATGAATGCATCATATTTTTCCTTAAATTTATTGGTGATCACAATTTTTGCTGACTTAATAGTACTAATAATAATCTTTACATTTGGTATGGCACCTTTCACGTCAGAGGTACATCTCAAA